AAGACTTGTGTCGTTAAAGTTTCGTTGGAACGAAGTTACGGAAAAATCAATTAACAAACGGAGACGTAACAATATCTTCTTATAGTAATGTGAGTATAATAAAATTGACAACTCAAGTTTCATAGATCAGTACTTGAAGTCAGGAACTTTTAGTAACCTGTAGTATATCTAACAGTTTTATATATTTTGTAAATAGGAAAAGCTAAAGCTAAAATAATGTATGTGCAAGACAATTTTAATATCATTGAGCTTTGAATATAAAATTATTAGATTTTCCATTTTTGTATAATTAATCACATATACAGTGCTAATGATTTTTAACTTGTTTTTGTAATGATAGCTTCTACAAACCTTAACTCTGTACATGATGCTGTTCAGGAAATTGGAAAACATGTTGCTATGGTTTAGTCAGAAACTTTTGTGTTCTGTTGTTCCTTGTGGAACCAGTAGCACAGCTGTGACATGTCTTAGAAGGAGAATGATGATGATGATTGTTGTGACCAGGAGACACTTAAGTGAAGAAAAAAAACCATAAACATTTATGTTTATTCTACTAGAAGGTACACATCCTCTGATGATCTTTTACCTTTGTTCAACTAGAAGGTACACATCCTATGATGGTCTTTTACCTTTGTTCAGCTAGAAGGTACACATCCTCTGATGGTCTTTTACCTTTGTTCAGCTAGAAGGTACACATCTTCTGATGGTCTTTTTCCTTTGTTCAACTAGAAGGTACACATCCTCTGATGGTCTTTTACCTTTGTTGAACTAGAAGGTACACATCCTCTGATGGTCTTTTACCTTTGTTCCACTAGAAGGTACACATTCTCTGATGGTCTTTTATGTTTGATCTGCTAGAAGGTACACATCTTATGATGGTCTTTTACTTTTGTTCATCTAAAAGGTACACATCCTCTTTGATGGTCTTTTACCTTTGTTCCACTAGAAGGTACACATTCTCTGATGGTCTTTTATATTTGATCTGCTAGAAGGTACACATCTCTGATGGTCTTTTACCTTTGTTCATCTAGAAGGTACACATCCTTTTTGATGGTCTTTTACCTTTGTTCAGCTAGAAGGTACACATCTTATGATGGTCTTTTACCTTTGTTTAACTAGAAAGTACACATCCTCTGATCGTATTGTACCTTTGTTCAGCTAGAAGGTACACATCTTATGATGGTCTTTTATCTTTGTTCAACTGGAAGGTACACATCCTAAGTTTAGTGACATAATATTACACTTTGAAATGTTTCCATCGTCAGACTGCAGGACAACAGCTTGTTATATTTCTTACAGCATATATAACAATAATAATACATCCGCTATAGAATAACTTGAAATATCTTAGAAATACTATGGTGCTTTGGGCCAAGTCCCAAGGATATGACTAAGTATGGAAAGTCAGTTGACATGAACACATGAATTATCTTCAGAGATATTAATGCTAAGTTATATTAAGTAATATACAAACTAGAAAATATTTCAATTTATGAAGTTTTAGAAATACATTTTTGGACATAAATAGGCTTCCATGCTCCAGTGACTAACAGGATCAACATGAGTTTGGAAAGTTTGGACATGTAGATGTCAACCAAAAGTGATCTGCAACTAGCCAAGGCATATGGATAATAGAAGAAAAAAGACAACTAATTCTTATGTGCACATACCCTTTAAATCATGAGTTTTTGTCTGATGAAATAAAAATCAATCCATGGTATTATTGTTGGTACTCCTTTTTGCTTCTAAAAGGTTAATAAATGTTTATGGAATGGTAGCATATGTAGTACATCATAAATACACTGATT